TCCTCCTATCTTACCACTCAGGCCCCTCCTCCTCCCTTATCTTCCCACCACCCACCCCACTTCCTCCTCTGGTCTCACTCTTTCTGGCTGAAGTCAATTCCTTTCCATCAGAAAAGGCCAGACCAGCTGCTTCGAATACCTGAAGGGCACTGTTCCCACCCCCAGGACCACAGCCGAGGTCATAGCTGTTCATAACTTCGAAGACCTAGCATGAAAAAGCAGGGGTGTTGCAGAAACAAGAGTGGCTTGAGGGGCAGGAATGGCTTTGGGTGAGAGGGCAGGGGACGGACAAATATGAGACATAGACAGTGGAGAAATAGAGACCACAGGGCCCACAGCTTGAGGGAGGAGCAGTTGGGAGCAGCCTGAGTGAGGTCCAGGGCTGGGCCGCAGGCTTAGGGCTCGGGGCCCTGGGCTCAGGCAGCAGGAGAGTGAGTCACAGAGGACGGGGGAGGGGTGGAGAGAGTCTTAACAAACCTTGGCCATGTCAAGGGGCTTGTGGGCTCTGCCACCCACAGCATACAGAGCCGTGTCCATAGCTCCCAGTGCCACCAGAGCTGGAGAATCAGTGCGCAGGTGGAGCTTTATAGTCTCCCCAGGATGATAGTCCTTGTGACTGTCCACATTCAGCTCCAGCTGGCAGAGGCAAGAGGTGAGGCAGTAAGAGTAGGGAGAGCTTCTTTTCTTCTTTCTCTTAACCACCCCCTCTCCTGATGCATTCATTACCTTGCCTTCACAGGCTCCAGCCCTGACATCCACTCGCAGGGAGTTGGCTACTGGGCGGCCCCCATGATAGTAGAAAGCCACAAAGTAGAAAGAGGGTGCCAGGCGGTGGTCCACAAGCACGGAGACTGAGGTCAGGGCCGCCCTGGGCTCTCGACTCACAGACATGATCTGGCCCCGAGACAGGATCTGGGCAGGAGCGATTCCCTCTTCACTGCACATCCCCAGGGCTGAAACCACTCCCCACCTGAGGGCTCTTTCCTGCCTGAGCCTCTCCCTGCACCCTGCCCTCCTCTACAACCCACTCATGCACACCATGTAGTAGTAATGAGAGAAGCTGGCCCCACTGATGCCCACAGCTCGTAGGTTCAGGTTGACAGTGTCCCCAACTCGAGGGGATTGAAGATCCAGCCGTTCAATGGACAGAAACCCAGAGCTTCCTGAGTGCGGGGCCCTCACAGTGAGCTTGGCTGTAGCTGGATGCGGAGAGCCTGCAGACACCTAGAGGGAGGGGAGGGGTGGGGGCAGCAGGGCCATGGGTGCTCAGGAGCCCAGCCTGCCCTTCTTTCCCTCCCCATGCTCTCCCGTGCATCCGAGTCCTACCAAGAGCTGCACTTCTGAAGTGGTCTGAGGGACAGTAATGGGGATGGTGACTTGGCCGCTCCCATCTGTGCGTCGTTGATCGTTTTGTATTTGAGGAGCAGAACCAGTAAAGGACGTGGCAGAAACTTTGACAGGAATGCCAGAGGCTAGGGAGCCTGACATGTCTCGGACCAGGGCCTGGGTGGGTGGGGAGGAGCAGGTCAAAGAGAACGGTCAGAAAGGCCTTGGGCCCTCCTGATGAACACCCTCCCCCCACACCCCCTGCCCTTGCAGAAGAAACCTGCAGCAAAAATGGGGCCCCAGGCACGAAGTGTCGCTTAGTACGGCTAAGATCCAAGGAGAAGGGAGATGACACAAAACGCCAGGATGTGAGCTCTGCCTCCTCCATCTCTCCCCCTGCAAGACATGAGGCAGGCAGGGGTGGAGGAGGGAGACCCAGGAAGAGGGGCAGGAGAGCAGAGGGAAGCAGCTCAAGGGTTTCCTGCCCACAAGGCAGTGAGCTCCTCAGGGCACAGGCAGCCTCCCATTTATTTCTATGTTTGCTGAGCAACGCAGGACCCAGCACACAGATGGAGTGTAACATATGTCTGCTGGAGGAATGGATGGAAGCACGGATGGATGGATGGACAGAGGGGCGGAAAAAAATAAACTGAGACGGGGGGATGTGCTGCTTTCCCAGAAACCACCCAGAAGCCCAGCTGGAGAGAGACAGTCTCCTGGGCCTTTCCTGGCTTTGGGTCTCACACGATGGTAGGAAAGGTGAGGGGGGTGTCAGCACTGGAGAACAGAGAGTCAGCTCAGGGGTCAGAGGCCAGGGCCTGGGGTCATAATTAGGCGAAGCAGCTCACCTGGAGATTCAATGATGGCTGCTGCCACATAGAGGCGCAGCCCTGGGAGGTCAGTCAGGTGAATGTTAAGCTTTTCCAGGGCACCCTGAATCTCAGCCTTTGAGAGGGAGATGTGGCACTGGCCCTCGACCAGCTGGGGCAAAAATGAAAACAACCTGGGTTGACACCCGAGTCTCCCACCTCACCTCCTCTCCTCCCCTCACCCCCCCCCCCCCGCTTCCTACCTTGGTCTGATTCTCCAGTCCCCGAAGGAAAGTCTTATCACCATTCTCATGCAGGAGCCCAAAGCGCACATATGCCACCCCCTGCACTGGCTTCCCGTAGATGTACCTGTGGCCACAGAGAGACTGGGAAGAGGCTGGGCCAAGGGCTGGAGCAAATGATGGAATGGTCTGGGAGGGAGGCGGCTGACTGAGGGAGGGAAGGGGCACGTTCATACTGAGTGGCGAGCCCTGGGAGCAGGGCCCAGAGTTACCTGGCCTGGATGTGTAACTGGATTTCATCAAGAATGCCAGGTGCTGTCAGGATGTAGGGCTTTCCAGGGATGATCTTCACCTCAAAGTTGGGAAGGACTGATCCAGGGCAAAGAGGCAGGCAAGTCAGACTCTAGGGGAAGGGCCCTTTAAAGACTCCCTCCCCTCAGGGTGGTGATACCCATATCTCCCTGTCCCTGTCCTGCTCCCACCACCTCTCCTTCAGCCCTTACTCCCTGCAGGAAAGGAGCTGCTTGGCCCTCCCATCTCCAGCTCTCACCATATTTCTTCACCTCAAACTGGGTGCTGCTGTTGGATTCTGGGCCATCTGAGAATCGGGCTGAGATCTTCCAAGTCCCTGGCCTGAGGACAGACCAGCAAGGGACTCAGCCCTCTTGTGCAAGAGGGCCTGGGAAAGCCAGCAGCCCACCTCCATGGGAAAGGACTGTGGGGTAAACCAGAGACTCGGGGTGCTGGGGTCTGACTCTGTGTGTTGGGAGTGGAAAGCAGGGGAACCGGGAATGGGGTGGGGCAGTGGAGGCAAGAGCTCACTCTGAGATGTCTGGGATCACAAAGTCCTCCTGGAAGATGGGTAAGGGAGCATGCACCTGCCTCTTCCGCACACGGAGACCATGAGAGTTCTGTGATGGGAGGAAAAGTGGTCATGGGTGGGAGGTCACATCAGCGGCCCCAGCTGATCAGGGAGGTCAGAGGTCAGGGACCCACCTCCACGGTGACCGTGAGGGTGTCAGTGGATGGGCGCATCTGTTGATCCAGAGCAAAGACCCGGTATCGAACTGGAAGTGGAGGGTGAGAGGTAAGCAGCAGGCCACGTGGACAGGGAGTGAGGGGAGAACAAACATTTGCTAGGCAGCCTTCCTGTGCAGCACACTTTCAGGTTAGCCCATGTAAGGAGATGTGAGGGAGTTCAAGGTCTGAGGTCTGAGGGCTCAACCCTGGGGCTGAGACTCACCCCGCTGGCCAGGGTTATAAATGGGCTGGTCAGTCTGCAGAAAAAGGTGTCCCCGGCGAGAGGAGAAGAGAAGGTTGATGCCCTGAGTGTCCATCTCTTTGAACCTCTTCAGCCATGGTGACTGGGCCACCAGCTGGACCTGGGGGCCTCCAAGGAGGCTATTGAGGCCACAGCTCTCTGCACCTTTTGGGAGTATCTGTCAGGAAATGGGGAGGGAAAAGAAGTGGGTCAGACACAGCAGAAGGAGAAAGCCAGAGAGGCTGAGACAGAAACAGGGAAGGAGACCTTTGGGTGAAAGGAGCGACAGGGAGGGAGGCCAGTGAGAAGACAGACATTTACAGAAGACAGTGTGGGAGGCGCTGAGAACAGCAGGAGGGAGTGGCATCCAACTACCTGAAGGCTGAGAAGAATGAAGTCTTTTTCCGAGGTGAGGATAAAGTCCACCTTTGGGGAGCAGGACACCTGATGATTGGACGGGTTTCTCAGGAATATGGCTCCTTTTACTTCTTGTCCCGGGGGAGCATCCTGGAGCTGGAGCCCCACCGACAGGGGGACCCCCAGGTGAACCACGGAAGGAGAGAACAGGAGCAACCTGGGGAGAACAGGCAGGGTCAGCAGTCGGCCTCCCACTCTTCCACCCCGTCCCCCACTCTGCGACTGTGGCACCCTGTCTCCAGGACCTGGGTTCCTGCAGAGATAAGGCGAAGAAGCTGGACGCCCAGATCAGCCCCCAGAGGAGCCTCATGACTGGAAGACCCTAGAGGGATCAAACCCGTCCGTCTGCCTGCTCCTTTCTGGTTAACCTCAGGCTTGAAGCAGAGTTGACTCTGGACCTTGCTCCTCCCCTGGCCCAACTAATCCGGGAAACCACGTGACAGCCAAGAAATGCACTGGCCCCAGGCCCAGTGTTGGGGGACGGACACTCAGGCCGCCTGGGTCTCCGAGAGAATCAGGGAATCATGGCCCAGAGATATGCCCTCCCTGTTAACCCATCTCATCCCTGTACTCTGGGCACCTCCCCTACAGGGCATATCTGGGTGTGTATGTGAACATGCTCAGTACAGGTGGGCGTAGCACACAGTTGGAGAAACAAGGCTCCCTGTCAAGGCCCTAACAAAACAAGGTGATAAGATCCTGGTCTCTTACTATAACCCCCATAAAAACTGAACTGCTTTAGGCCTTTGCTTTTTGCAGGCCCTGACAGAGATTCTGTGGTTTAGATCAGGCACACCCTTGCCATCCCACAGGGAAAACTGACCTCAACACCCCTTTTCCTCTCTGAACAACGAGGTATAGGTTAGGCCCAAGTGTGGCTTTACCTCTGCCCCCAAACAAGGAGCGCACATTGCATTACACAAGACACCCAGGAAACAGCACCCTCAGAAATACTTTATTTGGCAGCTTCAACACAGCATATAGGGAAGAGAACCCTGCCCTCCCTCACTAGCCGCCTTGGAAACCCCACCTTCCCAGCCCAGGACAGTAACAGTAGCACCTTGCTGCATGAAACACAGCAGCCATGGCCTTGGCACGCTCTCTGACTCCAGTTCCATGGAAGGGCAGAGAAGCGCTGCCCAGACCCCACCACTGGCTCAGAGCCCGGGTCAACAGCAGCAGTCACATCTAACGTTACACACCCACGAGTCAAACACTGATCATTCTGGCCCCAAGCTTTCGCAAGGTGACCCTGTCTCATCCACCACTGGGCAACACTCCTGGGATCCACTCTGGGGAGGTTTGCCATGATGAGTAGACTCCTCATGTCTCTGGCAGGCGCAGAAGGGTTCCAGATGTGGTGGATACACTGCACAAGAAAAAGACACGGCAGGTCCAGACACACAGGCCCAAGGACTGGGGCGGGGGGGGGGGGGGGGGGGGACTCAGAACTTGGTCAGGGATGTTCCTGGGTTCCCCAGGAGAGAAGAGCTGGGCTTCCCTAGTGAAGACAGCAAGAGTGGGGAGGAAATTCAGCTGTACTTTGGGTCATTGCTCTGTCAGCTGCCAGAGGCTGGAGGCAAGACTCACCAGTCCACCAGCTGGGCCCCAATGAGGTCATGGACGTGGTAGGTAAGGCCGAGTTTCACCGAGGCAGGCGCCCGCCGGCCCAGGAGCTCCGAAAGGAGTAGCTCCCGGTACTTGGCCTTCCGGACCATGCCAAGGACGGCCTGGCGCCCTGGAGGAGAGACGGCACAGGAGTGGGGAGTAAGGCCTGCAGGCCAAGAAGCCAGTGAAAGGTGTTCTTGAGGGGCTGAGGGCTTGATCTACAGACAGGGTACCTTTAACAAAATACTTAATGAATCTCCCAGCTCCAGGCACAGCCAGCCACCAACTCCCAGCGTCTCGGACAGTGAGAATTCCAGCATTCACCAGCTGCCTAAGCAGGTGCGAAGCCAGGAGAGATTAGGCCTTGGTTCCAAGAATCCTCTCCCCTCCCTGCCTGCTGTTTGGACTCTGTCTCCAGAAACATGGGCAACTGGGCAAAGGGACTGGATAACAGATACCCCGACCCCCGCCCAGCAGTTCTCTGATCCCGTTCACCTACACAACTGCCCTTCCCCTACTCTCTTTACCTGCTACTAATTCCCCAAAACCACTCTCGGAAGCCCTCCCTGACCACTATCCCTGACACCCTCAGTCCCACCAGAAATAAGGGTCTTTTTTCTGGGCTCCTGCCACTTCATGACTACCACACATACTTCACCACAGCTCCCCCCACATCTGCTGAGAAGTAGTTCAGAAAATGCCTTCACATGTACCATGGGTCACAAAGTAGAGAACCTGAGCCAGGCACAAACCCTGCACTGATATTTTTATCTCACTCATGCCTGGTTGCTGTTCTTTTGAAAGTGGGTGCTTCAGCTCCTACCACTCATGTTCTTAGTATCAGCATGATTCACGTTAGGCATTTGTGGTCCCTGCCAGGCCTCTAGATGCATCTGATTAGCCACCCAGATCGCCTGAATTTTAGTCCAGGGGTCTTTCCAAGGCCCCAGGTAACACAGGCACCCTATCTTGGGAGAGAAATACAAATTTAGATCATTTAACTTAAAAAAAAAAAAAAAAAAAGGTAAACCTTTTAGGCAGCTTCGGCAAAAGGAAAAGGACAAGGCTGGACGGGAGGGAGGCAGGCAGGGAGGTGCCTGATGCCTGATTTGATTGGTCCCCCAAGTCCCCAAGTCTCACGTGATCTCTGTGTCCCGGAAGCCAAAGGTCTGTATCATTTGGTCCTGCTGGAAGCTAAGGTCCCCACAGGCTGGAAGCACCGAAGCCAGAAACTTCTGCACAGCTCCAGCATATGATCGCCCACTGCAGGCCTTGAGGACCTGGAACCAGGTATGAGAGACTGGTGTGGCCTCCTCCCCCACCCTCCAGTGACCTCCTCCCCAGGACATTTCACTGCAGGTAGGCAGCAGATTCCCTTCTGCTCAGTTCTTTCTACCTCTCATACCTTTCCTCTTCCTCCTCCCTCTCTTCCTCAGGTTACTACTTACAAGAGTCCTGTGCCCTCTGTGAGATGTGGAGTGGGGGAACTGCCTCTCTTCTTTTTATTTCCTTTCCCCAGTTTCCCTGCCTGCCCACTCCATGCCCCATGACACACACAGTCACACGTACTCTGGTCCTGTAGTCCTCGGTGAGAATAATCCCATGGGCATCCAGGTCGAAGCCTAGCTGGACGACTCTGATCTCCCCCTGTTCCTGAAGTTCTTTCTGTCTCCAGAAAGATGGGAATGAGAAGAAAAGTGTCAGGATAAGATGCTCTGCTAGACTAGATACCTAGCCCATATTGGGGAGTTTTTCTCTAAGTAAAGGGAAAGCTGTAGGGAGAGAATCAGGCAAATCACCAAAGAGTCTTTTCCAATTGGTTGCCCGCCCTCCCACCCACCCACCTCATCTGTAGTGTCAAACTATCAGTACACGTTTTCTAAGACCAATCACATGCCAGACATGAAGACAAAACAGTGATTAAGACACAGGCCCTGCCCTTAAAGAATTCACAGTCTAGATTTGGGGTAGAGGAAAGTGGAGAGGAATGCAGGATAAAATGTTTAAAACAAATAAAAATCGATCAGAACTACTGTTTCCAGGAATACAGCAAGAACCAACCCACCTGCTGAAAATTAATTAAAATGCTGGATAAAATATTATTTTTAAAATTATTGAGCATCAAAGAGCTCACAAAATAATAAGTGAACAAAAAAATTCATAGAAGTAATTGGGATGTGGAAAATATCTGATGATTTAGGCAAATCTGTCCCGCACAGTCAAAAATAACTGGGCACAAAAGGAAACAAAATTCAAAAGAAGCAGACAATAGAAACAGACTCCAAAAGACATGTTATCAGGGAATTATCAAAAACAGACTATTGAAGCCCAGGCTGGGTAGCTTAGTTGGTTAGAGCATCATCCTGACACACCAGGGTTACGAGTTCAAACTCCAGGCGGGGCACAATGAATGCATAAGTGGAACAACAAACTGATGTTCCTCTCTCTCTCTCAAATGAATAAATAATTTTTTTTAAAGAACCCTATGTTTATAATGCTGAAATAAATAAAAGCCAAGATAGAATTTTTCAGCAGGAAATTATAAAAATTGCGATATATTTTTAAAATATCCAAGTAGAAATTCTAGAACTGGCAAGTACAATTAAGGACTCAATGGATGGGTTTAATGAATTAAGACATAGCTAAATAAAAAGCTACTACTCTGTAAGACAGATCAAAATAATTAACCAGTCTATAATAAAAACAGTCAGAAAGATTGAAAATGCAAACGAGAGACTAAGAGACTTAAAAAATACAAAGATCCAATGTATAACACATCCACAATCACAAAAGTTATATTAATCCAATTCTCATTAACTCATAGAACAACAGACAAAGTAATCAGTGAGGAACCAGAAGACTTCAATAGTGACACCACTTACTAAGGCATTAATAACTGAATAATATATATCCTTTTCAAATATACATACAATATTTAGCAAAACTGACCACATACAGTGAAGTCTCAATAAGTTTCAAACAACTGAAATCATATATTCTCTGGCTACAATATCACTTATTCCAGAAATCAGTAACAACAAAATAATAAGGAAATGTTTAGAAACTAAGACATACATTATTAATCACCCAATGAATCAAAGAAAAAAATCACTAAGTGTATTAGAAGACATTTTGAAATGAATGATAGTGAAAATAGATACCAAAACTTGGGAGATAGAAAAATCTCAATACTTAGTGGAAAACTACAGCCTGCCATGAATTTATCTATTAGAAAAGAGAGAAGAGCCCTGGCTGGGTGGGTCAGTTGGTTAGAGCATCGTCCCCTACACCAAAAGGTTGAGGGTTCGACTCCCAGACAGGGCACATACCTATGTTGTGGATTCGATCCCTGGTTGGGGTGCACACTGGAGGCAACCGCTCAATATTTCTCTCTCACATTGATGTTTCTCTGGCTTTTTCTCTCCCTTTCTCTCCACCCCTCCTCTCTCTCTAAAAAATTTTTTTTAAAAAATCCTCAGGTGAGAATGAAAAAAAGAGAGAGGGAGAAAGGATAGCCATGGCCAGTGTGGCTTGGTTGGTTGGAGTGTCATCCCATAACTGAAGGGCTGCAGGTTCAGTTCCCAGTCAGGGCACACACCTGGGTTGTGGGTTTGATCCCCAGTTGGGGTGCCTAAGATCCCTGGTCTGGGTGCATACAGGAGGCAACCAATCAATGTTTCTCTCTCACATCAGTGTTTCTCTCTCTCCCTCCCTCTCTCTCTAAAAGCAATGAAAAAATGTCCTTAGGTGAGGATAAAGAGAGAAGATAAAAACTCATGAAAAAAAAAAAGTAAAATAAACCTGATCTTAAGGGAGGGGAAACAGTTAATTAATCAAACAGAAAACATGCAAGCAAGAGAGCAAGAAAGCTATTAACAGTGAAAGACTATTAACATTGATAAGCCACTGGTGAGAATGACCAAGAAAAAGGGAGAAGCCTCTTGTTCTACAAACAATAAAAAGAGACTGCAAACTTGCAAAAATTATGCCAGTGAATTTGAAAATTCAGATGAAATCAACAAATTCCTAGAAAAATACAATTTCTTCCACGGGAATGCACAAAATGGATAGATTTCATAAAATGGAAATCTATGAAAATGAACTAACTACAGCTACATGTGACAACTTGGAAGGATCTCAAAAATATTCATCTAATGAAACAAGATATAAATAAATACACTCAGTATGATCTTGTTTATAGCAAGTTCAAAAGTGGGTAAAACTGAGTTACGTTGTTTATGAATAAACACATAGATAATATAAAGAAAACAAAAGGAACAATTGTCCTACCAGTCAGGACAGTAGTTACCTTTCAAGGACATAAGGCATTTTGATCAGAAAGTGATTCATGTGAGATGCTGGCATGTTCTATAGTCTAACTTGAGTGGTGGTTAGATGGGTATATGCTTTGTAAACATTCTTTAAATTGTGTGTGTACACGTTTATATTTTCTTTTGTGCCAATTTTTAAACTTTTTTTAAAAATTTAGGCTAACACCAGTAGATTAGATTAGAAACAACAAATACTACATGAGGAGTGATTCCACCTGACTCGCTTCCTCAAGAGATTGGAGCTGGTCTCCATCTTCCCATTTTTGTTCTTCCTAGGGAGAATCAGAGTGTGGTTGCCTCTCATGCACCCCCAACTGGGGGTGAACCGGGGCCCCAGCCCACAACCCAGGCGTGCACTCTGACTAGGAACTGAACCAGTGACCCTTAAGTTCACAGGCTGGCGCTCAATCCACTGAGCCACATCAGCCAGGGCCTTCTTCCTGTTCTTCCCTCGTCTTCCTGACAGGTTGCCATATTAACCTTCTACCTGCTAAACCCAATGGACAGATTTGGGATACTTTTCTTGACCTCTTTACAGACCATTGCCCTGAATCAGGATTTAAAGTCGCCAAATACTCTACCTTGCTGAAAATCTCTAGTTTCACAATAGGTCTCTTCCTGGGTTCTCCTAACTCTAGCCATTCCTTCTCAGCCTCTTTCACAGACTCCTCTTCCTCTGCTTTCCCCTTACATCAGTGGATCTCAAATTTTAAGGCACAGTAAGAATCACTTGGGGCAGTAGTTCAAAATATAGATTACCAGGTCCCACCCCAAGAGATCTTAATTCATTAGCCTGAGGATTTTTGAAGAAGCCGCCGAAATAATTCTGACATAGATAGAACTCGGGACATACTTTGAGAAACACTGACTTAAAATATTGATATACCCCAGCAATGTGGATTTGGCCCTATTATCTTACACTGTAAACCTGAAGTCCTTAACCATGAGCCTCAGGATATGTTAGACACCTCCCCCCCCCCCCACAAAATTGTACATGTACCTTGTATATATGTGGCATGTACGCATTTTTTGGTAAAGAGAGCCATTGCTTTCATTATCTACTGAAGTTTGTAAAAAGGTTAAAAATCACCCTTCTAGTCACTCTTCCTTCCTGATCTTAATTCATTAGCCTGAGTACTTCTGAAGAAGCAGCCCACATAATTCTGATACAGGTAGAAGTTTGTAAAAAGGTTAAAAATCATCCCTCTACTCACTCTCCCTACCGGATCTCACCCACATCCACAGACTTTGAAACACCTCTCACTTCCTGATAATTTCCAATTCTAAATCACAAGCCCAGAATTCTCTCCAAACCTTCACATCCAATTTCTACTACACATTTGCCTTTGGACGCTCCACAAACATCTCCAACTCAACGTGTACAAAATTAAGAACATCGTTTCTGCCCAACAAATCAATGTGCTCCTCTATTCACTCCACCAACCAACCTCTCAGTTTGTCATCCAAAATATCTGAGAGTTATCTTAGATTCCTCCCTCTTCCGACTTCATACATCCCTCGCGCAACCTTCTCCTACTACACTGCCCTAATTCAGGCCTTCACCAGTTCTCAGCGGCAGTTTCTTTGAATTGATCTCCCTGCCTCATCTCACTACCTCCAGATCATGCAACACGTCGTTCCCTCTCCTGTTTAACATGCTCTAAGCTCATCGTCTTTGGTGCAAAGCGGAAACAACGTTGATGCACAAGGCCTGTTGTATTTTGACGTCTGCCTGCACTGCCAGCGCTGAAGGCTCCAACTATGCCCAACGACGCAGTTTCCACAAAAGCTTCGCTCTTCCACATCCGTGATATGTCATGCTCCCTACTGCCTGAGCGTCCTTTAACAGGGTCTGTAGCATTCTCCTTGGCACCGCAGTGCCTGGCCCAAAGAGTCCTAGGCTTGCTGAATGGCAGGATGACTGACGGAAGGAGACTCTGAGTGCTGCCTCGGGTCTGTGGCTCCGACGCCCCTCACCAGCTGCCGGTCGGCTGCCGTCCGGTCCGGCACAAGGCTGTACACCTGGCTCCTGAGGGCGATGGGCGGCAGCGCATCCTCGAACAAGCCTCGCGGGAACAGCCGCACCAGCTCCGCGACTGCCGCGCGCACCGATCCTGGGCGAAGAGGCCTGGTCACTGCGCGAACCACGGCGAGGGATACACTCACGCGGGCGCCGTCCTCCCAACATCCAAGACAGGAGGAGGCGAAGCCGCTCGGGCTGACGTCCTGAGCCTCGCCCCAGGGTTGCCATGGTTACCTGCCTCGTCCCTCAAAGGACCTGCCTCTGCCGGCTCTCGTTCCCGCCGCCTCTTCAGTCCCAAAGTCTCCGGGGCCAGGTGCTGCCTCTTTCGGCTCATGTCCCGAGATCTTGTAGGGCCAAAGAAGGGGAAGGTGCTGAGGAAGAGATCAAGAAAAGACTTCCGGCGCGGAGCAGTGACGTCTTCCGAGACCAGTCGGCCGAGCGTAAGTTAGACGCTACGGCGACGGAAGACACTTCCACCCGTCATTTCTCTGGCCTTGGCTGCGAAGAGCAGTATCGATGCGGATTCCGCGGCCAGGGCTGCTCGGCTGCCCCCAGGAGCTCTCACGTCCCCGAAGCCTGGCAGTGCCGCGGAGCGCGAGGGGCGGCATAGTGACCAACTTCCTGGTGCGGAGTTTGCCCGCCACTGTCGCTGAGTGATTGCGCCATCGAGAGCCGAAAACCTCCTTGGCATCCCTCTTCCACTTCGGGTGTACCTGCCGACACGTCAGAGCTCTGCGGAGGTGGGAGTTGAGTTTGGCGGGCTTAAAAGTAACCAAATCCTTTTTCCGAGTCCAAACACCCTTCCTAACCTCATTGTCTTGGGGACCAAGGGGAAGGGCCATGGGTGCAACCTGGCGGTGGTTCCGTTTGAGGGGCTGAAGCCTTCGTGTTTCAAGGCCAGACCCTAGCGATCAGGAGATTCACTTAATCCTGACCCCGAGCCCTCATTCTCCAGGCCTCCTTTATAAAAAGGTAACGTTCCTCCACCTCTCAGGATCTCATGGAGCCCAGAGGGAACAAGAGAGGAACGGGGAAAGTAGAAGTAGCAGAACCTCGGAACAAACTCCCTCGCCCAGCCCCCTCACTGCCCACAGACCCGGCCCTCTACTCTGGGCCTTTTCCTTTTTACCGGCGCCCTTCCCAAATGGGCTGCTTCTCCCTGGATGCCCAACGCCAGTATCATGGAGACGCCCAAGCCTTGCGTTACTACAGCCCACCCCCCATCAATGGTCAGTGCCCCAACTTTGACCTCAGAGACGGATACCCTGATCGATATCAGCCGCGGGATGAGGAGGTCCGAGAAGGCCTGGACCACCTGCTGCGCTGGCTCTTGGAGCATCGAAGCCAGCTGGAAGGGTGAGCAGAACACAGCACGAAAGCAGATAGAGAGACCTGCACCTGCTCCCTAAAATTAGGAAAGCTGGAGGGCATTCAGTCCTTTGAGGGAACTTGGGCTGTTCTTTGGGGGAGCCATCTGTGCTAATGCTTTGTCAGGCTGTGCCTCTAAACCCTCTCTCTCAGGGGTCCCGGCTGGTTGACAGGGGCCATAGTGACATGGCGGGGGCACCTGACAAAACTGCTGACAACACCGTATGAGCACCAGGAGGGCTGGCAGCTGGCAGCCTCCAGGTTCCAGGGGACACTGTACCTGAGTGAGGTAGAGACACCAGCTGCTCGGGCTCAGAGGCTTGCCCGACCACCCCTCCTTCGGGAACTTATGTACATGGGGTACAAGTTCGAGCAGTACATGTGTGCAGGTGAGAGTTGCCCCTGCTCTGTAGTCCCCTCCCCTTCCCCAGAGACAGAGCCTCCACCCCTGCTGCTGGTTCTCTCCCCATACAGACAAACCTGGAGGCTCCCCAGACCCCTCTGGGGAGGTTAACACCAATGTGGCCTTCTGCTCTGTGCTACGCAGCCGCCTGGGAAACCACCCTCTGCTCTTCTCAGGGGAGGTAGACTGCACAGACCCCCAGGCCCCATCCCCACAGCCCCCCACCTGCTATGTGGAGCTCAAGACCTCCAAGGAGATGCGCAGCCCTGGCCAATGGAGGAGTTTCTACAGGTTCAGGGCAGGCGGGGGGCGGAGGGGGGGAGTAGGGGGTAGGCAGGGCAAGAGCTTAGAACTGACAGCTGAAAAAGGGATTTAGGAAGAGGAGGGAGATGGAGGCGGGGTTTCCCCGACACTACATCTTTCCTTACAGACACAAGCTTCTGAAATGGTGGGCTCAGTCGTTCCTCCTGGGGGTCCCAAATGTTGTGGCTGGCTTCCGTAACCCAGAGGGCTTCGTCTGTTCCCTCAAGACCTTTCCCACCATGCAGATGTTCGAACACGTCAGGGTGAGGCAGCAGTGTCAGAGCACCCACCCAGAGCCCCAACCAAGACCACGGGTCTAGTGTCCAGGGCTGCCGTGTGCATTCCCCTCCTCCCATTCTTGCCCTCACTCATCTCTGCCTCCTCCTTGGCCCTCTCCAGAATGACCGCAACGGCTGGAATCCCTCTGTGTGCATGAACTTCTGTGCTGCCTTCCTTAGCTTTGCCCAGAATACAGTTGTCCAGGATGACCCCAGGTGAGGCACTCAGCTCTAACCTTCCCCGCTGGGTCCCAGAAACCCAGCCTCCAGCCCTCAGTTGGCAACTACATCTTCTCCTCAGGCTCGTCCACCTCTTCTCCTGGGAGCCTGGCAGCCCAGTCACAGTGTCTGTACATCGAGATGCACCCCATGCCTTCCTGCCCACGTGGTATGTGGAAGCCATGACTCAGGACTTTCCATCAGCCCCCCAAGACACCATCCCGTAAGGACTGATACTTTGGGGCGGGGGGGCTGGTCCTGTCTTTGTGCAGTTAAAGGCATATTTCTAGGTGGTTCTCCCTGTTGTGTCTCTGAGCTGAGTTACTCTGCCCAGCACCTCAAGTACACACAGAAGATTTGCTGTTTTATTATTATTTTTTTACATGGGAATTATTCACTGAGTATAGAGGCTAGCTGCGAAGACAATGTCCCTCCGTAGCAGGGTAGCTGCTGTCTCCATCTTGGCGCCTAACACAGGCTCACCTACCAGGCGGGCTGCCCCCCGCAACGACCGACACATCTCGGCCAGGCGCTGGATACAGCGGACCACCAGGCCCTCAGGGGTCCCTGAGAGCCCTGCCAACTCGGAGAAGGGCTGTGGGGGAAGCAAGGTGGGGACTGAATTTGATAAACCTGGGCAGCCTCTCCCCAGCCAGCTGTTCACAAAACCCCAATCCCCAGCTACTTACCATGCCCCGGGCCCACTCATACACAACTCCAACAAGCCCAAAGTTCAGCTCCCCTACAAATTCCTCCACTGTCTGGTTCAGGCCACAGGCCACCTGGACCTCACCAATCCGCTTGGCCACAGCCCGGACACGTTCCACTCCCTGCAGATGGGGAAGGACAGGTTAAGAACTGCCTTCCTGCTCCAGGATAAGGGAGGCTCAGATGAAGGAAGAAGCCATTCCAGCTCTTAGAAACACAGGGTGGAGAGGTCACTTGGGGAAACCTGGGAGTGGAGATTGGCAATGTGCAGCCAGGGGAGGGAGAGTGGGGTGGGCGCCCCATACCTGTTTGAGGGTACTTGGAAGCTGCTCTCCAATGTCCCCAGGGCTCTGGCAGACCAGGCCAGAGAGCAGGGCTGCAATCTCCTCTGGCCGCAGGGCACTCAGCGCGTTGTCAAACATGAGCTCAGTGAGGAGCAGCTCATGGCTGCTCATGGCACAAGCCACCCGCCCTGCCAGCTTCACCGTGCCTGCCTCATCTACATAACCCAGGGTTCGGAGCACCTGGATGGAAGATGGTGGGTGTTGGGGGCTGTCCTCCCTCACTAGCCCCCTTCCCCCTACCAACACTCTCACCTCTACTCGTTGGTGGTACTCAGGGAGCAGCAGCAGCGACTGGTCTGACAGTAGGAAGTGCAGTCGCTCCATCTCCTTCTGTACCTGCATTCGCTCCCGCAGCTTCAGGTACTGTGGAAAGCCACACGCAGGAGTGAGTTAGCCTTCCCCTCATTCCTCCACAGGGTCCTGAGGACCAGGGCTGAGATGGGGTGGGCAGCCTAAAGGGGACCAGAGAGAAGCAGCTTTGAAGCTTCTTCTAAGGCCCTACCTGCGCAGGAAAACGGGGGCTGTGCACACACTGAGCCTCCCGGATCAGTTCCTCCAGCTTCCGGGCACGGAGCCCACCCTCAACCACCAACATATCCTTAAGCTGCAAGTCGTTGACAGGGTCAAGGGTAGGGGGTCCTGCTGGGTGGGCCTGAGACAGGCGCAGCAGCTCCTGGACAGCAGCGGTCACGGCAGCAACAGGAGGATCCTTCCTGAGGAAGGAGCAGGTCCTGAGACTTCTCTTCCATAAGAGCTCCCCTCAGGCTGGGGGAGATTCCCCAAACACACCTCCCACTCCCCATTATATAGTCCCTTCCAGGAAAACGGTTTCCCCAGCATCTAACTTAAATTTCAGTTGCTGCCTCCTGCTGAAGTCCTCCAAGATCTTCTCCCCATTCACCCGGAGCACTTTGGTGGTGATGGCGGCCACATCTCTGGGCTGAAGCTTGGCCACAGTGTGGTCACAGGGCCCTGTGAAAAGGGAATATCAGGGTCAGGCCTCACCGTGAACCCAGGTGTCCTGCCTATGCTGCTGCTAGGAACCTGGACATCTGCCCCACTCTCACCTTCAGGCAGGAACAGCTTGAATCCCACAAGGTCGTCTGGGTAGGGCACACCTGGGGAGGCCAACCCCCTCTGCTGTGGGTCCTCAGACGTGGGTTTATCACACAAGACCAGGGTTGTGAATAATCTGCTGGTAGAGTTTGAGGAGACCTAGGGGAAGTGGGGGGGCGCCAGGACAGGGTGATGTGAGGAGCAGACAACAAAGCTAGAGACCAGATCCCCTCCCTTCAGGCAGGGATCATGGAGCAACCATGCAGAGCCCACCAGTATAGACTGGTAACCAAGTCAAACAATCAGAGCAGACAGGTGGGGGAGGAGGGCGCATGGAGGAGGGTAAGGAGGTGGGCATGAAGTGATGGGAAGGAAAAGAAGGCAAGAAGGGAAACGAAAGCACCGCTGAGTGTAACCTGCCCTTCCCTCTGGGGCCCCATCCCCTTGTGTCACCTGCAGGATCACACCCAGTGCATTGTGATGCTCCTTATTCTTCACAACCACCACCCTTCCCGCTGAGAGAGATTTCAGCCCATTCACAGACTCTAAGACACGTTGCTGAAGAATGGGAATATGCACAAAAGGGATAAAAGAGGAAGTGTCAGGGATGCTGGGAGGAGACTGAGGAGCATCCAGAGTGTCATCCTATCTTCCTTCCCTCCATCACCCCAACAACACACACTGGTTCACCTGGATCAGGCTCCGGGTCTCTGTCAATTCCTCTCCCCAGGTGTAATAGTCGGGTAGGTCGACCAGTTGGCCAGTCAGGTCAGGTTCCTCCAAGGCCCCCAGCTTCTTGGTTAATTCAGCTAGAGCCTCTTCATGGGCCTGAGCAGAAGTGGGGGCAGGTGTGAAATAAGTCTCCAGGCTCAGTCTGCCACATCCCCACCTGCAACCCACCAGCCTCTACATGCCCACCCCTTCCCCCCTCGCTTCCCTTGTCCAACATCCAGCCTGGTACACTGGTCACCCTAACCCCTCACCTTGCTGTCCTTGCGGGATGGAAACTCAGAGAAACTCCTCTTCATCATGTCTTCCACCCTGAGGGCATCCACCCGCAGCAGGTTGAGGATCATGGTGTATGTGAGGCGGAACTGAGACTGCAACTGTGATGGCTTGCCCTGGTGGGGGGGCAGGGGGGATACCGGGATGGGCCCCCTGCTCCCCGGCCAGCCCTCTGCAGACTGGCTCCACCCCCAGCAGACAGTCCCAGCTCTGGAACCATGGGACCCCAAACTACCTGCTCACCTCATCTGCAAAATAAGGGAGCAAAACTAAGTTAACATATTTGCAAAGGTCCTACTAGCTCTGTATTCACAGTGGGAAAGCTAGAGATGAGACTGGGTCTCACTCTTGAACTTGCTCACTCTACCATGGCTTCTTCCAGGCAAAAGAAAAAAGTAGAAAGAAAGGAAAGGGGAAGAGGATTGGAATAGAGAGAACCCAGTGGGTATCCAGAGCTGGGGCCCTCTGGCTTTCCTCATGCCATCCAGCTCACCGTCATCATTCGGTGCAGGTCCACCATCTCGGGCACTCGGCCCTTGCAGAGCAAGATAACAGTGCCTGTGGGGTCCAGGCCCCTCCGGCCCGCCCTACCCGCCATCTGCACGTACTCCCCAGGGAGCAGGTCCCGGAAGGTAGAGCCGTCATGCTTGCGCATGGAGTCAAACACCACGGTTCGGGCTGGCATATTAACACCCATGGCAAAGGTCTCAGTGGCAAACAAGACCTGGGACACAGGAAAGAGAAGATCAGCAAAGGGGCTACACACAGACACCAAACATACCTTACTCTGTAACAAGGCTACCTGGCATGATCCAGGTGGTTAATTCGCAGAAGCCCATTTAACTCTACAGGCAAATCTTTGGAGTGGGGACTATCGTTTTCCTCATTTTATTGATTTAGCTGCCTATTTATTTCTTTGTACCCCCATGTCTCACTTCCGTACCCCCACCGTCAGTCATCCAATGTCTTTAATGAGCATCTTTTTGTGTGAATATTTTCTTGCACATCGTGTTTTGTGTGCGTGTAATTTGCAATTCACATTAAAGGTCATATAGATCCCCTTCTGTTTCCTTATTTCTTTTCCTCCACATAGTGTTTTCAGCACCCATGTTCCTGTGGTTATACCTAATCCCTTGCTTCCAACTACGGCAGGACACTCTGTGAGGCGCGTGCTCTACCGTTACCTACCAGCTCTCCCAGTGAAGGACACCTCACGACCACCACCAACACCCTGCCATAAGACTACAGCCGAACAAAGGAAGAGTGGACATATTGCATCATGGACCAGGGCGAGAACTTCTTTGTGGTTTATATTCAGAAATGGAATTGAGGATCAAAGAGTATGTTATTCTTAACTAAAGAACACTGAGGTACACTCCAGACTGGCCACCACTGTACGAGAGTTCCTATAATCCTATACAGGCAGACCTCGTTTTACTGCATTTCACATACTGCATTTTAATCAACATGGAGGCCAGACCCTCCACCAGCAAAACGATTACAATTCACCAAAGGCTGAGCAGATGGTGAGCATTTTTTAACAGTATTCTTTAATTAAAGTATGCATATTGTGTTTAGATGTAATCCTAATGTACACTTTGAACAGAGTATAGTACAATGTACACATAACTTTTATATGTACTCAAAAACCAAAAACTTACTATATTGCGATATTTATTGTGGTGGTCTGGAACCAAACCCACAGTATCTCCAAGGTCTGTCTGTAGTCTCCTATGACTTTGGCAACACTTGGCATTAGCCAGTTTCCTAAGTCTTATCAGTGTAATCACTATAAAGTCTTATGAGTATTTCAATTTGCATTTTTTTGATAACTTATGTGCTTGCTAGCTTTTTAGGTTTCTCTTCTGAATGCATCCCCATTTTAAGATGAGAACACATATCAGGGAAACTAAGTAATTTTGCAGAAGATCTCGCAGTGAGGAAATAGTGGGGCGGCGTGTGCACCTTGACCAGGCCACGGCTGAAAAGCATCTCCACGATCTCTTTGAGGATGGGCAGGATGCCACTGTGGTGCACGCCCAGGCCTCGGTGCAGGAGCTCTGACATGTGCAGGACCTGCAAGTAGCCAAGAGGCCCGTGGTCAGCAGTAGGGTCATGGAGTGCAGCACACACTCCCACCAGTTTCCAAGTGCCCCCTCCATACCTGGGGCAGCTGGCGATCAGAGCCACGGAGACGAGCAAGGCAGCGCTGCAGAAAAAGGTGAATCTCGCTCTTCTCTGAACTTGTGGTGAGGTCAAGGGAGGTGAGGCCTGAAGCCTGCTCATCACATCGGCCCCGGGAGAAGGTAAACACCACCACAGGCAGCTGCGCACGGTTGCGGAGGGAGGCCAGGAGGGACAGGTACACACCTCGGTCCTAGGGAAGGGCAAACAGACAGACATGGAGTTCCTGAACCAGCGGGGGCCAATGTGGCTGCAGGTCAAGGAGTGTCAAGCTGTGCAATGTTCAAAGCTCAAGTGCAATCCCCTGGGGGGTGAGGGAAGACACAGGTGATGACGGGTACAACACCTACTCATTCTCACCTGTGCCGGCCCCCCCTGATGTGTGGGCTGCTTGGCCCCAAAGGTCTGGGCATGTTTGCTCATCCTCTCCTTCTTGGCCTCCACAGCTGCATAGTACCTGGAGTACACAGAAGGTGGCTGTCACAGTCACACCCAGCCACGCCTAGCCCTGGTTCTCCCCTTTCATCTCCAGCTTACCCCTTTGTGTGGAAGGCACCTTGGGAGTCCAGCAACAGGAAGAGTTCACCCTGAGTCTTGGGACTGTTCCCCGTAAAGAGATAATGCTCCAGGGGGACGGGGCGGGCAACAGTGCTGATCACGTAGATCTGGCGACGCTTCAGTCGTCTGAGTGGGAAGGAAACAGTAGGTCAGGGATGGGAGTGTAGGAAGGAACAATCCACATCCCCACCCACCTTCCTGCTTCTGGCCTCACCCAGTCTTTTCTGAGAGCCAGATTGGAAAGCTGTCCCTGTCATGGTACCTCTCGGCATGCAAAGTGGTCTAGGCCTGAGTGGGCCATGTTCCCCAGTGCCACCCTTTCCTCCTCCCGCCCCCAAGGTTTGACCACTCTTCCTGCTGTGGCAGCCTTCACTCCCCAAACCCAACCAAGGAAGACTACAGCCTCTTTCACCCGAGCACCCCAGGAGGCACATCTCACCCTATCCAGTCAGCAAATTCAAGGGCGTTGGGAACAGTGGCACTCAGAAGGATGACAGAGACATGTTCAGGGAGCATGATGAGCACCTCCTCCCACACGACCCCACGCTGGGCACAGAGAGGGGAGACAAGTCATGGGTGGCTCAGAGGGGCTGCCCTTCAGCTTCTAGGCTCCCATGGAGGGCAAAGAAGGCAGTACGCTTTCAGGTGTGTGGAGGAGGGAGCTGCTGAACTAGTCCCACAGGAAAGGATTCCTGGGTCCAGGGCCCCATGCTCATGCCCCTTACCTCAGCATCGTTGATATAGTGAACCTCATCAAAGATGACCCACTCCAGGTCCCGGATGACATCTGAGCCACTGTACAGCATGGAGCTGAGGAGAAGAGACAAGGCTGACTCCCCAGTGGTCCTGTCTCCACCAACTTAGCCAACATGCTCTCCAGAACTGCCTCACCTTCCTGACCAAAAATCCACCCGTGTTGAGTGCCCATCTCTCACCGAAGGATCTCTGTTGTCATGATGAGGCAGGAGGCCTCTGAGTGCAGCTGTACATCCCCAGTGAGCAGCCCCACGTCCCCAAAAGTGTTTCGGAAGTCTCGGAACTTCTGGTTACTCAGGGCCTTGATAGGCGAAGTGTAGATGGTGCTGAGAAGAGGGTGTGAAGTGAGCCAGTCTCTCCCTACAGACTGTGGCCAGCACCTCCTCTCCCACCCTGAGCCCTCCTAGCAGCATGCCACAGAGCTCAAGTGCCCCCCTTCTTCACCCAAACTGCCCTCATTCTCCTTCATGACTATGACCCCTGAAAAATTCTGTCCCACAACCTCTTCCTGAACTAAATTCATGCAGGTCGTTCTTCTAAACTCTCTCCGCACACCTTCTCATTTCTTCCTGGGCCCCTGTCTCAGTCCCTCCCCCAAACCTCCCAACTAAAAGATGAAATAAAGACACGGGAAGAGATGAGATTTAGAAAGGATGTAGGAGAAAGCAGGGATGGCTGATGAAGGGAAAGGCTGTACCGCGTCATGTGCTTCTGGGCAAGGGCAATGGCATATTCAGCCACAACTGTCTTCCCTGCGGATGTGTGAGCCGCCACAAAAACTGAGTCGTGCCGTTCCAAGTGCAGGATGGCCTGTTTCTGAAATACATCAGGCTCAAATGGCCACTGTGGGGGAGAGAAACGGATGGAGACTAATGAACGGAGGGGAGAGGGGACTTCCTACCTCTTCATGGGGCTTGCAGGGCAGTAGGGAGAACGCCAAATTGAGGCAAGGCTGGGACTGAGGTCCAAGACCACCTGGAATGCACCTGGCCTCTGGTGAGAAGATGAGACAAGGCAGTGGGCTGGGAGGAGGTAGGGAGCCTGTGAGGACTGGGTCACACTACCTGGAAGGCTGGCTGGGGAATGAGGCAGTAGAAATCACCAACGGGGGTGGTGACATCCACAGGAATGGCCCACTGCTCCTGAGAAAGAGTTTTGGGGGGCTCTAGGGGGGATGTAACTGTGGACGCTTCCTGGAAAAGTAAGGAGTAGGGGTGATAAAGATATAACCAGAAAGCTCTCCATTACCACTCCTCCCAAAAGATGCTCTGGTCTTCCCCTTAGATCCAACGAAGCCAGCCTACCCTGGCGAGGGTAGCTGAGACAGAGGAGACCACCCAGAAGCACCAACCTTCAGCACTAGGTCCTCCAAGCTGTTTGCTCGGGCCAAGGGAACACTACAGGGAGAGGCCGAAACAGTGTCCCCTCTGGTACCTTCTGGCTGTTCCATTGCCTCCTTCTCATCTTCATCACCCCCACCCAGATCCAGGGGCTCTAGCAGGTGGCTGAGGCTGAGCAACCCAGGAGCTGGAGCTGGGTGATCTGAGGAGCAAGGCAAAATGGGAGAGCCAGTCATGTCCATCTCTGTTCCACAGGAGAAGGGCACCACTTCTCCTATGCCCCCATCCCAAAACTCACCCTTTGGTGCAAAGTCCACACCTTTCTTGAAGCCAGGTGGAATAGTAAGAAGATCTGGAGAATGGAGACAGAGAAAGTCAGGACCACTGCACGCTACTGTACAAGTCATACGTCATATAAACCTAAAGGAAACCATTCACAACAAAGGTTTTGTAGCTGAGGACAGTTGTAATAATTTTCCAACAAATAACAGTAAAAGTTGTAATGGAAGAGGGACCTTTTCCTAATTTGCTCAAAGGCAGGAAAGGACTAGCAGCAGCCCAGTGATGGGTCTGGGCCCGTCATCCTCAGGGCCCAGACTTGGAGCCCTGCCTCCCAATGGTCCATCCTGGCACCACCTCACCTCTCTCAAAGTCTATCTCCTCCTCAGCTTCCACCTGAGTGCTCAGATCTGTTATGGTGGGCTCATCCATTCCACCTGGGGAGAGGTCGGACACATAAGGACTCATGACGGGTGACAGGGGAACCCTTCCCTGGAGACTGAGAGCTCCCTCCCATACAATCTCATTTCCACAAGAGTCACCTGGCCAGAAAGGATATTGTGTTGGATTCCCCCACAGGGGCTGGGAGATGGGCCCTGGGGGCCGGCGAAGAGATAAGGAGGTAGTGGCTGACAGGTCTGTATTCTCCAGCAGGACCTAAGGCAAGAGGTCAGAGCCCCAATGAGGTTGAGCTTCCCTCTGACCTTCCTTTTCCCAACACTGCTTCACGTGGCCCCTGATCTCTTACCTCCTTGTAGCCCAGTATGTGGCCTGTGGTTGGGTGTCTTTGAGCCTGTAGGTCAGAGGGGACTGGGGCCCCCACCAGAGCAAGGAGAGCCCAGGGATCCATCTTCCTTTGACATTTTCTGGAGAGAAGGAAGCAATTTTCAAATCTTCTTTCTCCTCTGTCTCAGCTTCCTTCAAGGACCCATCTCCCTCGTCCAAGCCCCTCCAGACCCCTCACCGGGCTGAGTGCTCCAGGTCATGCAGAGGCAGCCAGGCTGGAGATGACAGAAACAATTGCTCCGCTTCTTGCTGCAGATCTAGGGCACAGGGAAGGAGGCTGTGGGGAAGCTGGCAAAAGAGCAAGATGAGAGAAAGTCATGGGCCTCATGTTTAGATCAGAAACGGTAGCTGTCCCAGAGAGACTAAGACAATGAAAGTGAAACAATATTTTCCAAAAGCAGTAACACTTTACAGGACAAACGACCTGCAGGCGCTGGTTAATAATACAGATTTCAGATTTCAGAATCTGGGACTGGACCTAAGAACTTGTATTTTAAAAAAGCTCCCCCGCTAATCATGAGGCACACTTAAATTTGAGAACCACTAACTTTAGGAAAAAGGGTCCCAGGTCTAAAAACGAAGAGTCAGGGACTCAAAGGCTAGCATCTCAGCTACCAATGAGATAAAACAACATTTGCAAGAGTAGTTCTTGGGGCCAACGTATTGTCGATGCTCCCTGCTCGTCCTCACAGGGGCTCTGACCCACAGCAGGTCCCCTAGCCTGGAGCCTGTCCTGCACCCGGATGACAGCTGTCCAGAGAGAAAAGTGGGTCATGCTAGATGGTACTGTAAGGTTTTAAGCTCAATGCGGGTCAAAGATTAGGGTCAAAAGTCACTCACGGTGCTCTCCGGAGCCCCAGGAACATTCACTAGCTCCCAGCGCCCACTGCAACCCAGCTCCACAGCCCGAAGAGGCAGGTCCAGGGGATCTGAGGAAGGTAGCACTGCGAGAGAAAGATCAGAGGTCAGGAGTCAATGGTTAATTCCTATCTGTTCCTTTTTTTCCACCTCCTCCCCCTCACCTAGTCTCTCCCTCTCCATCATCTTGGAGCCACCACAGCTGCCTTGCCTCCCGGAAGTGCAGCGAGGAGCCCTGTGGTAAGCACCGCCCCCGAAAGGGCGGAAGTGAAGGAGACTTCCGCCCTTCACACCCCCGGAAAGTGGACGAGTGCTACCGAGGTGCTGCCTTAAACCAGTGGAAAGCCGGGCGGAAGTGCCCTCTCCTCGGGGCCGCCTGGGTTTACCGCGTTTTCCGCCCCTAGTACGTCATCGCTCCGAGCCACCGATCCGCTGCGTGCGCGGGCGCCGCGCGAGACCTTGGGCCCGGGTTGACGCCCCCTCAAGTAAGGCCTTCCCTTTCTACCTCGTCCTCCTTTTTTTCCCAGAGCTCGTTTCCTTCTCTTTTTCGTTGCTCTGAGAGCGCTGCGCGGGTTTCACTGTCTCCTCTGCAGTTCGGGGTTAGTTGCCATACTAACCCCTAACCCCACTGGGCATAGGGGGCTTTTGGTGCCATCATCTTGACGACGGAGAGGGTGTTTCTCCCCGGTTCACGTGGTACCTACCCCAAGGCGCTGGTGTCCGTGATTCCTAGAGAGGAGGGAATGCTGATTGACTCCCCAGGAGCGGGGGCTTGGATGGCAGCCTAGCTTAAGTAACGGGTAGCGAGAGACTACACACAGGAGTAAGCAGGCCTGGAGGGCTGGGGTTGGGTACAGTGGACGGCGTGTGAACCCTGGGTGGTGACAGGGGAGAAAGATGTCTTGGGCTCTGCCCCTGAACCAGGAGCCACCATGTTGGTGATACCCCCTGGACTGAGCGAGGAGGAGGAGGCTCTGCAGAAGAAGTTCAACAAACTGAAGAAAAAGGTGAGGGAACGTGTCGGGGCCTGGCCCAGTCGTTCATATACTCTACGCTCTGAGACCACACGGGGTGAGTGTGAGGGGTTGGAGGGTTCTTCTGGCTCATACCTGGAGGCTCTAACCTCTCAGTGTAGCTTCAGAGGTGGGCTGTTGTCTTGTTGTGTACTTTGTGTCCTTTCTTCTCATTTTGCCATGGAGTTGTCTCTCTTTTCCATGGCTTTTATTACCACCTAAAAGCTGGTGATCCCCAAGTTAGGTCTTTCCAGTTCCATCTGATGTCTTTCTAATAAACTTCACCTATCCAAAATAAAGCTGTCATCTTTCTACCTATTTTAAGGTTTTATTTATTTATTTATTTTTAGAGGGGAAGGGAGGGAGAAAGAGAGGGAGAGAAACTTAAGTGTGTGGTTGCTTCTTGCATGACCCATACTGGGGAACTGGCACACAACCCAGGCGTGTGCCCCGACTGAGAATCCAGCTAGAGACCCTTTGGTTTGCAGGCCGGCACTCAGTCCACTAGGCCACACCAGCCAGGGCTCTACCTATTTTAATCTAGTTTCATTTCATTTCTTTTTTTCTTTTAATTTAATTTAATTTAATTAACTTATTTAGTTCCCAAAAATGGACTGACCACATTCAATTCTCTTGGGTGTTTAGAATAAAAAAATCTCAGTTCTGCCCTGGCCAGGTTGCTCGGTTGGTTAGGGCATTGTCCTGATACACCAAGGTTGTGGGTTCCATCCCCAGTCAGGGCACATACAAGAAGCAACCAATGAATGAATATATAAATAAGTGGAACAACAAATCGATGTTTCTTTCTCCTTCTCACTTTATGTCTTTCTAAAATCAGTTTTTTAAAAAGTCTCATCTATGACTTCTCCATTTGCATAGGTAAACATTTGCCAAGTCTTCTTGATTCTTTCTTGAAAGTAATTTCTCCCATTTTTTTTCCTGTGTATTCCATAGATCATGTCTTTGTTGGCATTCACTTAAGATTGTTATAATGGTCTCCAAGCATGTTCCTTAGTGTTTTGTTTTGTTTTTTTGTTTTAAACAGACTTCTCCGCTCTTTAAAATGATCCATTGAAAACACAAGATTCTGTCCTCTTTCTCCAAACCCTTAAGTGATTTCATTTTGTCTGTAGAACAAAGCCTTAAGCTGGCATCCCTTTTTAGTAAAATAGAATTAGTAGTCCCAAAACATGCATTCCTGAAGCCTTCTTATCTCTGTATTTCTGCCACTCTGCTTTCTTTGTCTAAAATGCCCTTTTTTCTCAGTCTCTGTTGTGCAGATTCTACCTAGAGTCCAGTTTAATAGCCATTTGACATCAGAAAATTTCACTTGCTCTTAAGCAGTTTGCACCTCTTATAAACATTCTCGGCAATTTAATCTGGTCATTTTATTTCTCAGATGGTAAGCTTCTTGGGGGGCGAGGAACTGTGTCTCATACCTTTACATATCCCTGTTAAAAAGTAATGAATGGCATGTTCTTGTAAATACACAAGGGATGGATGGATGGATGAAGCCCCCACAAAGAACACATAGGCTTTTACTTACTTGTAGCTTATAACCTGGGGCTCTGGTCCATGATTGAATTCCTTGTCTTCACCTTCAAAAACATGATACTCTGGAAAGCCTCAGGTACCATGGTTTGGATAGCTTGGGTATCGCTGGCACTGTAGGTGTTCTGGGGGACCGTATTAAGAGGCAGGGCTGCCTCAGTGAACTACTCCAGGGGCTCCATTTGCGTTGTTTTCTCTGAGAACGGCGGCCCCTGGAGTGATGCGCTCAGGGGCCTTGGGAAATGATCTGATCAGGCACTGGCCTTCACCGACCCCTCTCTTCTCATTCTTGTTCCAGAAAAAGGCATTGCTGGCTCTGAAGAAGCAAAGTAGCAGTAGCACAACCAGCCAGGGCGGTGTCAAACGCTGTGAGTGACAGGAAATGGGGATAGGCTAAAAATGGGGAGCCCGGGGGCTGATCTTTTTCACACCTGGCCAACATAATGCCTCTTTCCCTTGCCACTCCAGCACTGTCAGAGCAGCCTGTGGTGGACACAGCCACTGCAACAGAGCAGGCAAAGCAGCTGGTGAAATCAGGAGCCATCAGTGCCATCAAGGCTGAGACCAAGAACTCGGGCTTCAAACGTTCTCGAACCCTAGAGGGGAAATTAAAAGTAAGCACACGCAGAAAGCTTGTCTAGGGGACCCTTGACTTCAAAGGGCATCCCTCCAAGTTGAAATGGAGGTAGGTTTAGGGAAAAAGTAATGCCTACTCAATTATGGGCAAATTGTTCTACCATTCTGAGTTTCCAGTTGCTTATCCGGAAAGTGAAGAAAATGGATGACTCCCACGCTCTACAGTTTGCACATCCTATAGTTCTAATTCATGCATTAGAACTCTCAGATTGTGTTCTTCCCAGCAGTTAAACAGGCCGAAATGTCATCAGATTTAAGAAATGTTTAGAGAAACTAAATACTTTAAGGGTATATTAGGGCCATGTATTTGAAATAGCACATAATCAAATGAGAAAAGTACAAAGAAATTTTTTAAAAAAGAGACCAGAAGAAGCTGAGAAGAGGGTGAGGGAAGAATCCCCTCTGTCCCACGGTTAGGCAACCTCCTGCTCCCACACTGAGGTAGGTGTCTCCCACCTTCCAGGACCCTGAGAAGGGGCCAGTCCCCACTTTCCAGCCATTCCAGAGGAGCATATCTGCTGACGACGACCTGCAGGAGGTAATGGTTCCCAGTCCTCTGTCCCTGAGGGTACCCACATGCCAACAACTTGGAATCATCTTAACTGAAACTTGGTCTCTTTTTCAGTTGTCCAGACGTCCCCAAAGGAAATCTTTGTACGAGAGGTTAGCGATTTACAGACAGGACTGGGTCCCAACAGGTGGTGGGTGGGGAGGAGCTCACCAAGTCCTTGGGAGGTATGGGGCTGGAATGGAAGGAGCTGAGGCTGTAGAGGGAGTGTTGAGTCTCGACAGGATCTGGGGAGACCAGGTAAAGGCCCCCCTTGATTCTCACTGCCTGTCTTCCCCTAGCTTTGTGTCTTCCAGTGATCGGCTTCGGGAACTGGGGGCAGATGGGGATGAGGCAGAAGGCTCAGGGGCTGGTGATGGCCTCCCTCGAAGCTTTGACTGGGGCTATGAAGAACATGGTGGCGCCCGCTCCTCAGTCTCCCCTCCCCGAAGCCGCAGCCGGGACCGCAGTCATGAGCGGAACCGGGACAGGGACCGGGAGCGGGACAGAGACCGGGACAGAGACCGGGACCGAGAACGAGAGGGCCTTTTCCGCAGTGAGTGGGCTTGGCTGGTGGGAAAAGGGACCTCAGCTAGGATTGAAGTAGCTCCAACTAAAGTGCACTCTTAGAGTGAAGAGTGAGACGCGTTACATCTTGTGATCCCACAGGGTCTGACTCATTCCCTGAACGCCGGGCCCCTAGGAAGGGGAATACTCTCTATGTGTATGGGGAAGACATGACGCCCACCCTCCTCCGTGGGGCCTTCTCTCCCTTTGGAAATATCATTGACCTCTCCATGGACCCACCCAGAAAGTAAGGATGACAATCAGGCCAAATGATGAGTCCCAGGAAGAACTTGGGTGTGCAGCCTGGGGGAGGAAGCCAACATGTCTCCAGCTGCCTGTAAGCGCTGGGTTTGGCTGGGTTCAGGAGAGCCCGTAATCCCTTTACTAATCATGTTTTCTCTCCCAGCTGTGCCTTCGTCACCTATGAAAAGATGGAGTCAGCAGATCAGGCCGTTGCTGAGGTTGGGATTTCCCAGATCTGTTCCTCCTACCCCTCCTGCCATCCTCATATTTTCTCTTTAAAGTCCTGGAAGCCAGGAGGAAGTCATTTCCTCTTGAAAAAATAGCCTCTCCCTACTCACGTAGGAAGCTTTATATTCTCAGATTCCTGCTCAGTTTACTCCTAGGATGGCAACTTATGGAAATCCTCCTCTGGTTTGTCTGTAATGTTCCCCCTAGCTCAATGGGACCCAGGTGGAGTCCGTGCAGCTCAAAGTCAGCATTGCCCGCAAACAGCCCATGCTGGACGCCGCCACTGGGAAGTCTGTCTGGGGCTCCCTCGGTAAGAACAGGATTTCTCCTCCCTAATCCTATCTCCCACCTCTCACTCCTTCTTCTGTCTCCTTGCATGTCTCTGGAGGTCAGGATTTGTGGGAGTCTGTGGGAATGGGAAGGAGAGTGGGCAGACCCTCTGTCAGTTGGTAGCAGGAGAAAGATGAGAGAACAGGGTTGAAAACAACTTCCAACAGCAGGACAGAAGTGAAAGTGGGTCAGGTTCATGAGGAAGATGAACACTTCACATGGCCTTGTTCATTTTGAGATGAAGTGTAGTTGGTTTTCTGAAATAAGCATTTGGATTAGGGATCTGGAACTCAGGTATGAGGTGAGAAATGAAAACAGATTAGTCATCTATATCTCACAGTGGCTACAAAGTGATAGTATCATTGGGGAGGAAAACAATGACGAGGACTGGGCTTGGGAGAAAAACAGGGAATATGATAGGAAGCAGAGCTGTGTTCCTCGTGCCCCACCTGTCCCAGCTCTTCTGCGTGTTAGGCTAAAGTTGATGCAGCGAAGTATGGGGAAGACATGATGCCCGCCCTCCTCCTCAGGGCCTTCTCTCCCTTTGGAAACATCACTGTCAGCAGGAGGGGTCAGGGCTGGGAGCAGCACCGGGGGACCTGGGCCATTGAAGCCAAAGAACACCATCTTTAAGGAGGCGAGATCAGCAGTGTCAGGGTACAAAAATCTGAGAGATGGGAGCTGGTGTGGAGGGTTCACTCTAGCCCCAGAGTGGGAGGGATGGAATCCTTGGAGATGGGGTGCAGAGAGGGACACACTGTACACAGAGGAAAGAAAAGGGGCAAGGAAAGCACGAGACTCAAGGGCAAATGCTCAGGGCCAAAGCTACCCCTGGAGTGAGTTCTGATAGGGAGAGAAGCATTTCTCAGTGTGAAGAATCCATCTTAGCTGAAATAGATTTTCCTGACAAAGGAGTGGACAAAAGACGTTCAGAGCAAGAGTGGCCTTCCAGATAAAAGGGAGGATTCCGGAAAGACCAGCATGTCAACAAAGGGCTGTAGAGATTTTCTAATTTTTAATTTTTGATGTACTGACTAAAAGCATTAAGTAAGCACCATTCACATGTGTCAACAGTAACATTTGCGTGGGTTTTTTGTTTTGGGGGTGTTTTTAGATTTTATTTATTTATTTATTTCTAGAGAGGGGAAGGGAGGGAGAGAAATATCAATGTGTGGTTACCTCTCGCAAGCCCAGGCATGTGCCCTGACTGGGAATCAAACCAGTGACCCTTTGGTTTGCAGGCCAGCATTCAGTCCACTGAGCCACGCCTGCCAGGGCATATTTGAGAATTTTCTAAAAACAGAACATTTGTTACAGTATCCCATGTGCCAAGATAACAGCAAAGCATTCTTTGCCCTGGTGAAGATTTGGCAGCCACTGGCCTAAGGGGCTAAAGGGAGACAGGGCATCCTGACCACTAGAGGGCAGCATAGAAACGGCTTCCAGGAGTCAGAGGCCAGGAATGAGGAGCTCAGACTCTGGGCCTAGGGTCTCACCAATGCTCTCCTTCAGTCCTTAACTAATCCTTTTCTTCCAACCTAGCTGTCCAGAACAGTCCTAAGGGTTGCCACCGGGACAAAAGGACCCAGATTGTCTACAGTGATGATGTCTACAAGGAAAACCTTGTGGATGGCTTCTAGTTACAGAGCTGGATTTCTTGTGCCTCGTCTGCCCCAACACTGGTCTCAGTAAAACACTGAGGTGGAAGCTCACACATCTCCCTCAGCCTCTGGTTTTTCAGCACTTGGGATTGCGGTTGAACCTTTAAAAACGGCCGTTAGATTTGCTTTGCCTTGTAACAAGATGGCCAGTGCACATTCCCCACGCCCTTACCTCAAAAGGATCTTGAACACAGTATTGTCACAGCTATTTTAATTTGATCTCATGCCCCTTTCCAGCAGGGAACCCCTTATAGAAATCTCAGATCCTCATCTTGTAGTTTCTCTTTGAGCCAGGGCAGCACTTCGAAGAGGTTGATGTGAAAGTCTCGGGCATGAGCAGGTACCTGGTGCTGCAACCTCCTGTCTTTGCAGACATCCACTACACCCCAGCTGATCACACCAACCTGGAAAAGGCAAGGGGTTGCCATGGATCTTTTGGTCGAACTCCTTCCTCATCCCAGGAAGCACAACTGCTCCCAATTGTGCCTGCACTGACCTGGAAGACTTAGACTGGTGACCCAGCTCAGTCCTGTCCTCAGCACCCAGGCCAGACACATGGTCCTGAGCCAGCCAGTTCAGGAAATAGTCCTAAGGTGAGGCAGGCCCTGCCCTCCCCTTTCTAGCCACAGCTGTTTTTCCTGCTTTGAGGCCTGTGCTGACCACTTGGCATCTCCCTGTGATTAGGAAAGGGGAGACTCACTTGAATAAACCGACTCCTCTTGTGAATAATCAGGGGACCACCAGAATCACCTACAGGAGAGGAGAAGCTGTATGGAAAGACTCTTGGGCCTCAGAAACTTGCAGCACAACCAAAGAGCCTTGTCTCACCTTTGCAAGTGTTGGGGTCAGCATAGGGATTCGCCCCTCCAGTGCATAGGAACCTGGGGGTGACCACCTGAGAGATGTCCTTGACTTTCTCATAGCCTGGGGCCTTTTGAGCATCCCTCTCACATGCGGCTTTCTGCAGGTGAGATGGGATGAACAAAATTGGTTTAGGCAGAGTCAGAGGCAGGGGTGTTCGACCTGTGGCCCACAGGCTGCGTGCAGCTCAGGATGGCTAGGAATGCAGCCCAACACAAAATTGTAAGTTTACTTAAAACATTGCGATGATTTGTGTGTGTGTCCTTACATGTTGCAATGTATTTAATGTGTGGCCCAGAGATACCAAAAGGTTGAACACCCCTGGTAGGTGAACTCTTTAGGATCCCACATTTCTTACCTTATCCCCATTCTTGATGTAGACCTCTTTCCGAGCCAGCATCTTCTTCTTATCCTTAACCAACTCAGACACAAACAGAGCTTTGATATCCTTAGCAGGGAGCAGTTCTTCCTCTGAATGATGAACAGACTGGTCATTTCAGCACTCTCCCTCCCAGTGATCTCAGCAAATGTCCCTCAGCCCCTCCATGTGAGTTAGGGGCTTAGCAGTTATCCCCTACAGCTCCCTCTTGTGCCCCTCTTGTCTCTTGGACTTGTATCCTAATGCTCTCTGTGAGCGTGTCTTACTCTGCTGCTCGCAAGTGGTTGACAGTGGCAGCCTCAAAGCTTGATTCGTCCCTTCAGTACAAGGGAGGCAGATGGGCCTGTTAAAGAGAGATGGGGGAATTCAGGGATGACAAACTACACCTGCCCTAGCCTTCCAGCCCCACTTTTTGCAGCTTTTTCTCAGGAAGCCACATGTCTGACCTGAGAGTCTCACCGAACTTCAGCCTCTTCTTGAGCTTGATCAGGGCCACGTCATAGTCATAAAACTCAGGAATTCCTTCTGCTTTTTTCCTATTGATGTCGTACTTGGGGTGAAATAGGACTTCCTCTATCTCCAAGTCCTGCTTTTCCCCTCCTAAGGTTGGAGAAGAGTGGGTACCTCTGGACCACCCACTTCTCTGTGTGCAGGTTCCTGCCTTTGACCCCATGTCATCCCTAACTGGTCCAGTGTACAAAGGAAAGGGCTTCATGGAGGGCAGGTGGACTGTGGGCTCTTGAAGTGGGAGGTGTTAGCCAGAGGGTGGAGCTCAGAACTGATTCTTGCACCATCCTTACCCACGTTGACCTTGATTGAGTGTGACTGGTCTTCCACCGTGAAACAGTGTGCAGCTGTCAGCACAAAGTACTCAGACACCACAGCCCCCATGCAGTTTTCATGTCCCTTCGAAGGGCGCTGGGAACAGAAGGGCAGGGCGAGGGAAGCTCTGCTTTCACAAACACCACACTCTCATGGAAACTATGCTCTTTCCCCTACCGCTATTTCACCCTGACCTCACCTCCCAGAAGTCCCCACCACCGGGATGCTATGCTTACAGTGACAGAGATCTTGGCCTGCCATGGTTGCTTGTGGTAATCAGTGCCTTTCCTGTGCTCCCAAACCATGCCACAGAGACCCAGAGTCCGCGTTTCATCTGGCAAAAAAGGAGAATGTGCTGAAAGCTGGGGCATCTACATGTCCAAGGGGATCCAAAGTGCTTGAGGAGGAAAGGAAAGGCAGGAGCATTCATTTACTTACGTTGAAGACAAGAAATCACTGGTATAGTGACAATTTGAGGCTAAGATTGAAGACCTGACTAATTTCAGGCCCAACCCTTGCTAGCTTGCTGTCCTTTGACATCCCTTGGCTGCAATTTCCACATCTGTAAAACGGGCTGGAGAACGATCTCTGACATCTTTTAGAGCTCCGCGTCTCAGATCAGGAAGTGGACAGTGTCAGGGAACAATCATGACACTCAGGCAGAAGGAAGGAATGAGGACATTCTAGACTGCCAAGGCTTCAGGAGGAGAAGAAAGATGGGGGACCTGGGGAGACCTGTTCCCTGCCCATCTTAACACTCTTCTGATCTCTTCCTACCAAGCATTTGGATGAAAACATCCTCCAGGTTTTCCATGTCTTTGACTTTGAACACATGTTGCTCTTTATCTTTCTTGGAAGCCAAAGCATTGATGTTCTCTTGGTTCACCAGAGGTCCAACCCCAAACACATAGACATCTGAGGAAGAAAAGGGGAGGGCTAGGGTCCAGACCCTGGGGTGCAGGAACCGAGAAAGCAGGGTGCTGGGTTCTGGATAATAAAACTTACCCAGATACTCTTCCCTTGGGTTTTTGCGATCCCTACCAATGTCCAGCAAGGCCCGGATATCGTGAATGACAGCGACTGGGTCCCCGCCCATGTTGTGCTGGCCTACAGAAGAGATGGACCATGAGGAGGGGAGGCAAGGAGTGGGGGGGGGGGGGGGGGTCAAGAAAAAGAAGTTGGCTAGAGATAGTAACACATGGTTGGATAAGCAGGTTGGGAAGGAAATGAGAGTGACAGATCATAGAGGGTCCCTCCTTGTAAAGTGTCACAGAAAAGATCAACAGGGTTGAGGCCCACTGCTGCTCAGGGCCCCAACGGTAGGTCATTGTTACATGTGGACTGAAGGGCCACACACTGGTATAAGAGGTTGGGAGTCAGGCAGGAGAAAGGGCCCTTCTGACCATCAGTCATGAGAATGATGACATGGCGGGTGCGGTTCCAGCCTTCAGGGGGGCTGTCCCCTTCCCAGCTCATCATGCTGTACACAGCCTGGAGAGCCTTCTTGGTGTTAGTCCCCGTCTTTAACTTGTGATCTGTGGAAAGGAAGGAGATCATCACCTCACCAAGTCTTCCAAGACCTTCTTGAAACCCAGAGGCCTGTCACCAATAGACTCCACATTTTCCAACTTTTTTAGTTGATTGTCACCCCTATGATTTCCCTTTGGCCACAAAGTGGCCTTCTCAGCCCATAGCAGGTTTCCATTAACCCTCGTTCCCCACTGACCCTGCTGTCCAACTATGCGTTAAAAAGTGGTCCTCCCTCCCCCCGCATGTGGTCTCACATGACACCTGAACCTTCTGACCTCTCTGACCCCAAAGTGAACTTCCCACCCTCCTTCCCCGGCTCCTGACCTTCATAGCTGATTTTGTTGAGCTTCTCTGTGACCCAGTCTGCATTGCTGCTCTCTGCTTGGGATACTCTGATCAAAATGTTGGTGTCTGTGGCATATGTCACTAGACCATATTTTGGCTTCACTCCGTAACTTGCCACCTGAGGGCAGCAAAGGGTCATGGTATTGCTAGGACAGGGGCGGTCATAGTAAGAGACTCAAGGGCTGACTGGTCACTCATGGAGGTTTGCCTGGGAGTCTAGGTTATAGGCCAAGAAACTGCTTCAAGAAAAGGGGAAGGAGGGCCTGAATGTTTCTAGAACCCTAGGGCTTGCAGGGGCTGGGAACACCAGGAAGCTAATTCTGGCAGAGCAGTGACATCCATTCAGGGTCTCCACATTTGGGGGTCAGGGGCTTCACCTTCTCAATGAAGTCTCTAAGACAATTCTTGGCCCCTGTGAAGTTGCGCGCCCCAACACTGTCTGATCCATCCAGCACGAGATAGATGTTCATGGAGCCCGAGGGATCCAGGACAATCTTCCTCTTCTGTTGTTCCCCTGGGTGCCACCAGCGACACTCAGACTCAGCATGTGTGGTTCTCCTGCCCATTCTCCCCCCAGGTCCCTGCCATGTCTCCCACTATGCCTTCAAACCTGGGCTGTGCCCATCCTCAGCGTCGACTCCTTCTATGGTCTCTGTCAGTGAAGACAGGAAGGCTTCGGCCACCTCTCCAGGGGTATCGTACATAAAGGAGTCTGGCAGAGGTCAGAAATCAGGTCAAATGTCTGGGAGGGTCAGGGACACAGGGACCAGAGAGACAGGGGATGGTGGGCTTCCAGAGTGAAAAGGGCTCAGAAGTGAGGAAGTTCTGCAGGGAAGCTTAGAAGTGGAAGGAGCTGGGTTGACAGCAGAGATGACAGTGTCCTGTATGGGGACTTGAGGATGAGAGAGCAAGATCTGACCTGAGAGCATGGGTCAAGGGTCACCTTGGCAAGAAGGCTCCGTTCCACTCCAAGAACCACCTTCCTGGCATGTTCGCCGCTGGGAGCCACGCAGGGTGAGCCCCCGGCTACAGTAGTAGGTGACACTGTCTTCAAGGCGGTACTGGCTGCCCACCTTCCTTGTGCCAATGGGAATGCCCGGGTTGGGGCAGTACCCCACTGCAGAGGCATGAAACAAGAAGGTGAGGGCCAGAGCCAGAGGCCAGGAGGGCAAGGTAGAACACAGGAGTTATGGCACCAGTTCCTCAGGCTGCAAAGCGGTCAGGGAGAGGCCACCACTATGTGGGTAAGTGATGCTTCTCACCTCCATTGTCACAGATGGCTGTTTGCCCATCCCACCGACCAGTCACTTGGCAGCTGCGATTGGCAGAGCCCCGGAGGGTGTAACCATCATAGCAGTGGAACGAGATCTCATCACTCAGATTGTAGTAGGGGGCCCGGGGCCAGTACTCCCCATTCTCAAAGTCCTGTGGTCTTGGGCAACGAATTGCTTTAGGGGAGAGAGACAAGCAGAAGTTACTGAGAGAGAGGGGCTGCTCTTTAGAGTATCCTTTTTGGTCTTGAGTTCCCTGTCACTGAGGAAAAGCACCTTTTTGTCCCATAGGAGCAGCGTCCCATGGGGAGTCCTGCTGCCCCTCCCTTCCCTTTCCTGACTGTGCTGTTAACTGCCAGGGCTGTCTGGTACTGGGTAGATGCTGAGTCAAGGTTAGCTCCCCTTCCTCCTTCTTCCTCTCTCCTTCCCACCTCCAACCCCAGACAGCTCCTACACTTGTTCAGCCCAACTTGTCATCCTGCCTGGTCTCCACATACTCTAATCTCGTGCTAGTCTAGACCTTGGCCACCACCTGCTCCAACCCTCTGCTAGCCCATGCCCACCCTCACTGCCCTCCAACCTCTGCATTCTGCCTTTTTGACAATCTTTCGGTCTTGGGTCTGCAGCGTGCTCCAGGACCCTGTGGATCTGCAGGTGCGCACTTGCACAGGGTATGGGTAGAAGCCAGATGGACACACGTACTCCAGCACCTGGCCCTCCTTGAGAAGGCGGAAGGAGCCACCTTGGATCTCTACTCCCTTCAGAGAGCAGGGGCTTCGGGGCTCAGCCACTGGCAATGGCGTCGTGCTCACACCTAAAGAAACAGACTAATGAAGCCTGGCCTGACAAGGTCAAAGAGGGATTCTGGGGACAGCAGGAACAGGGGCAATGACCCTGGCTTACCTTCAGACAAGAGGCCCAGGATCAAGGGTACCAGGCAGAGCCAGAGGCTGAGATCGCTCCACATGGCCACGGAAGGCAGGAGAGAGGCTGGGGCTGGAGGCAGAATGGCCTTCCCCAGCTTGTGCTGCATGTCCGCTTGGCTCAGTGTCCAAGCAGAAACTGCAGACCTGGGCCAGGTTGCACTCCCTTGCCCTGCTGCCAACAACCTCTAACCTTTTATGCAATCAGAGTGCTGGCCCCCGTGGCTCACCCTGCCAGCCCTACCCACATCACTTTCCGGAATGTCCAGGCGGGAGGGCCCCCCTGAGCTGCCAGTCAAGGAAATAGAAACTGCACAAGCCCCACCCTTTGCTGTCCAAGGTCTAGAACTCTCCCTTTCCACAGCTCCTCTCAGCCACATTTCTCCTCCCCAACAAGCCCAGACTGCCCTCTTTAGGGGCCAGAAAAAAGCCCCAGCCGGCCCCCTGTTGACTGAGTTATGGAGCAGAGTCCCTGTTTGTCCAGCAGGGTCTCTGACCTGCCTCCTGTGATTCCTGGAATCACTCCTGCCTTCCCCGCCCCACCCCCTCAGGCAGAGGCACAGACAGATATGGAAATCACTGATTTTTATTAATTTCATAACTGGGAAATTCCACGTGAAAGTGAAAGGAGAGTGAGTCACATAAAGCAGAGGGTGGGCGGGGCACTGTCCCAGGATCCTGGAGGCTGGACTTAGGGCGAGGAGTAAGGATGGGTCACAGGGCATGTAGGCAGAAATTTAGAGGTAGGACATGGGAGAGATGGCAGGTTCTGCAGGACAGCAAAGGAGTCAGTGGGCATGTTTAGAGGGGCAAAAAGTTCAGGACGTCTTCCAGGTGCTGCCTCAGCCAGGGCTGCAGGCGGAAAAGATTGATGTGGAAATCGCGTGGTGGTGGGACCTTGCCTCTGGGGGCTCTCTTGCGGGAGTTTTTATCCGAGTTGCCACAGGGGTTGTAGAGACCCCAGCTCACCAGGCCCACCTTGAAGAGAGAATGGGACAGGAGATGGCCATGGCCCCAGATCCAAGTCCCAGCCTCCTTGCTTCCTTCAAAGCCCTCCCTCGTCCCCCACAAGGCCGAGATTCTGTAATCCCAGTCCTGCGAGCGTCTCCCTTCTCTCCTCACCTGAAAAAACCTAAATTTCCGTTCAAGGAAAACTGCTCCCCCAGATTCTCCTGCAGAAAGAAGGGACAAGAGACTATTATCCTGACTCTTGCCTTGGTTCCCTGTTATCAGGGCAGTGCACCCACGTCCTGGCATGCATACTAGCCCCAGGTGGCCTTTTTCTAGGCATCCAGGCTCCAGGGTTGGGGATGGGTGGGAGCCACTCACCCCTGCAGGGATTGTCATCTTCCTCAGTTCCACTACATAGGAACTGGTCTGTCACCACCTCTCTGACATCCGTCAAGTTGGGGAACGTGGTTTTGTCTTGGGAGACAACCTTGATACAGCTTGTCCACTGCAGTGGGAGCAGAGCAAGAGAGAAGGGCGGAATGAGCAGGCCCAGAGGAGGACACCTGGAAGTTCAGCTAGACTTGGGAGGAGGGCTGACTAGGGGTCAGATGCAGAAAGCAACCAGAGCTGAAGGAGGCAGCGAGACATGTTGGTCATGTCCAGGGGAACCCCATCCCCCCACAGCATCCCAAACCTGAGACTCTTACCTCCATCCCTGTCTTGAGGTTAATGTTCAGTTTGTCCCCATTCAAGGCCACAAAATGAGCAGGAACACTCGACTGGCTCAGAAGTAAGCTCTCTGTAGTCAAGGAGAAGGGGAGGTTGGTGCTGGTCCCTTGACCCAGCATCCAGACTCCTGACTTGGGGACAGGAACGCAGCCTATGCTATCACGCCCAAGTCTTGGTCCCAGCTCCTCAGGCACCTGCAGTCCCAGCACTCACCATGATCTCGGCAGGTGCTGCCTGGGGGTCTCCGCAGAGCCAGATTGGCGCCTACCGTGCAGGGGAGGCAGATGGGCCTGGGGAGAAAGGGAAGGGTCACAGGGGCTCGCCCTTGGTGCACCCCCCTCCGGGGCTCCACAGAGTGCTGTATCCCAGATGCTGGCACCTGGCATGGGTGGACATCTTCACTTTCTGGGCCAGCTTCAGCAGAGCAATATCATCACCATAGAACTCCAGGATTCCCTGATGCTTCTTGGCAAAGACGTCAAACTCAGAGGAGATCACCACCTTCTCAATTTGGAAGTCTTTGCCCAAATGGGAGTTGGGATCCCCTGGGAACAATGTGGCAGATTAGGCTAGGCCAGGGGTCCTGAAGGGGCCAGAGGCTAGAGACAAGCGGTAGGAGCTCTGGTCACAAGGTCAGGAACCTGGTGGGGGCCCTGCCTTACCCACGTTGACCCTCCACAGGGAATGGTCCTTGTTGGCATGGCGGAAGCAGTGAGCAGCTGTCAGGACCCACTGGTCTGAGATGAGGGATCCCCGGCAGGTCTCTAGGCTCTTGGGCTGCAGGGGAATGGATGATCATCAGGCACTGCTGTGTCTCCAGCCCATGGTCACTTTCACCTCTGCGATCCAAGCCACACCCTTCCTCCCTGGTACCTTGATAGTGACATGCCAGGGTGTTCTTTCCTGGGCAGAGGCATTAGCTGACATGTTTCCCACCCCACATATGGTGTCTATGAGCTGGGAGACATCTGTGGGTGTGAAGAGCAGATGGGGAAGGAGGCAGGTGAGGGGCACTGTGAGCAGGTTCCCAAACTGGACCCCTGGCTGGCTCCTCACCGCCCTCCCTACTCTGGAGAGGGCGAACGAAGCTCACTCACCCAGCATGTGCTCAAAGACCTGGTACAGAGCCTTTGTGTCCTGCAGAATGAAGGCATGCCTCTCGCCATCCTTCTTGGACGCCAGCTGATTCAGTTCTCTCCAGTCCACATCCAGCTTGCCCACGCCAATGGCATAGATATCTGATGGGGAGGAGGAAATCACCAGAATCTTGTGTCTGGGGGGCTACCTCGTGAAACAGAAGGCTGTATTTAGAGCTCACTGTGTCCTACAAAGCCCTATGTGAGCCTCACCTCCACCCCATACCTGTCTGACTTCATTTCCTACTATTGCTCACCCTTCACTCTCTTCCAGCTGCACAGCTTTTATGAAGTTCCTCAAATTTGCAGGGCCATGCCTACCTGTGGCCTTTCGCTCTGGCTGTGCCTCTGCTGGTTCCTCTTCCCCAGACTTCCCACGTGGCTCACTTTCATATCTTTTTAAGTCTTGACTCAAACATTCCTATCTGAGTGGGCCCCTTCCTGGCCTCACAGTCTGAGACTGCAGTGCTCCAGGCTCCTCCATCCCCCCTTGCTTCGTGCTGCACCTTAGCACGTGTCACACCGCCTACCCTGCCATGGCGATTCCTGATTCCTCTTGTTTAATGCCTACAGTGTGTAGAATTCTGTCTCCCTAAAAGATATGTTCAAGTCCTAATCCTTGGTACTTGTGAATGTGGCCCTACTTGGAAATAAGGTCTTTACAGATGTGATCAAGATGAAGTCATTCTGGATGAGGGTGGCCTGATCCGATGCCTGGTGTCCTCATCAGAAGAGGGGAGTGTGCGCACAGACACACAGGAGAGTGCTGTGACGGCACAGAGAGGCTGAGGGAAGAAGGGGTGTGAGGCAGAGGCAGAGACGGGGTCGCCCTGCCACAGGCCCAGGGATGCCTGGGCTCCCAGAAGCTGGCAGAACCTCCAGAGGGAGCAGGGCCCTGCTGACATCTTGATTTTGGACTTCTAGTCTCCTGAATGTGAGAGAATGAATTTCTGTTGTTTTAAGCCTCCCGAGTTTGTATAATCTGTTGCTCCAGGCCTAGCTGACTAATACATTGCCCCTCCAGAACGACATCCCCATGCAAGCAGGCATTTGTGGTTGTTTTGTTCGCAGCTGTATCCTTAGAATGGTGCCTAGCCCAGGAGAGTCTCTCAGAAGTACTTTTAAATGACTAAATAAATAAGAATTTGTGACCATAGCATGGAGGCAAAACTTCAGATCTAGTCTTCCTCTGAAAAATGTAGACTTGGGAGAAGGGCCTGGAGCCACCTCTCCCAGTGGAGAACCAGCCCATGCAACCATCCAGGCACAGCCTCCGAGGGACAGTTTTAAAAAGGAATCTGCTTTCCACTGAGGGGAGGAGGGGCACGGTGGGGTAGGGGAGACAGAAAAGACTGGACCCGGGGAAAGTGAAATTGGGGGCTCAAAACCAGCTGCCTTCCCTTATCTGGAGCACTTCTCTCTGAAATTCTTTTTTGGTCAAAGGTCAGTACAATTTGTATTTAGTCTGAACCAGAAGAATTGTTTTTTAGAGTCTGCAGCTGCCAAAGCTTTAGCTGCTTATCTGTACTGCTGTAGGAGGAAATGCCGGGGACAGTCCCCACAAGGAATCCAGGTCTTTTCTTCCTGGTGAGGTTCATGGAACATAAAATGGTGGATAATGACGATGATGATGATGATGAAGAGGATGACCATTAACACACATTGTATCAGGTGACCCCTGAGCATTTGCCCCAATCAGCCTACAACGTCCCCCTCTTACAAGTGAAGAAACTGCCCAGAGCCACAGCCAATCAAAGGTGAAACCATGGTTGAAAACATGGGATAGATTGACTCCAGACTGTTCAACATGACACTCAGCTGCCTTCACACAGAATGACACAGCTGGGGCGGAAGGACTCTCACTAGAAAGGTGTTGGAACCACTGGCTGAGGGCCTTGTGCCTCCTGCGGGGGCAGTACAGACGAGGCTGAGGGTGGAGGCTCACCTAGATAGTCGTTCCTCTTCTGGTTGATGTTCAATATCTCTTTGATATTGTCAACAGCTGGCTTGGGGGAGCCCCCCATATTGGACTTCCCTGGAACAGGGAGGGAAAAGAATTGTTTGTCTGGGTGGGTACATCAGGGTTCCCCACAGCCCTGGAAGAGCGGGGAGGCATTCATCCCGGGACCCTCAACACTAACACTTCCTGTCCAAATTGTATTGAAATTCTCTGTGTCCAAATTCTATTGAAATTCTCTGTGAAATTCCTCTGAAATTCTCTAGGCACTGGGCCAGGAGCTTTATTTACTTTACCTCATTTAATTCTCGTGAAACCCCGGGAAGTGTGGGTATCCTCATTTTATAGACAAAAAGCATAGTCTGGATGGGCCACGTAATGTGGACAAAATCAAGATCAATGACAGAGCT